TGTGTGTGTGTGTGTGTGTGTGTGTGTGTGTGTGTGTGTGTGTGTGTTTAGATGAATGGGTAGCAGAGGCACTTATTCAGCAAAGATTTTAATCGATTATTATTAATTTGCTTGATTTTGTCTTTAATTGTGTCAATATTTTTTTTAATCTACAAATGCTATAAATGCAGCTGAAGATCACACGTTTAAAGTTTGTGTGTGTGTGCATGTGTGTGTGCATGGATAATGCATACGTATTAATTGGACTGTGTAATACGGATTCATACTTATTTGTTCAGGTGTTCCTCCTGAGTTAACCGACCCTTGTTTGGCTGCCCTGCCCTCTGTCGTCTCAGGTGACCGCGGTGCGTCGGCAGTACGAGGAGAGGATCAAAGGCTTGATGCCAGCAGAGCTCAGACAGGAACTGGAGGACACCATCGCCTCTCTGAAAGCTCAGGTGAGAAGTGACTGTTTGCCAGATTACAGATCAGATACAGGCAGCAACAGAACAAACACGCTGACACATTCAATCCAGTGGCTTTAGTTGCAGGAATGTTAAAAATCGTCGTGGGCGCTCGGGTTCCCATTTTCAACCTATAAAATATCTCTTCCATTCATCCATATGTTTAAACACAATATACTGTCTATCGGACAGATTTTCAAAGTAAAGTTCACTATCCTCAGTTCTTTTAAAAGTTGATTTATGTCCTTTTGTCTTTTGCTTTCTCGGACCTTGACAGTCCTCTTTATTAACCTTAATATCGCCTCTTCATCAGGTCACCGCTCACTTAACCACATTCATGCAGCCCTGTTGTTCCTCTGAGCCGCTCAATATCAATAAAGAGCTTTTCACTTTCATCAGCTGTGACGTTGTAAACAAAAGAGGGATTTTTTTTTCCTGCAACGCCGATGAAACCGTGCAGTACAAGTTTTTTTTTGTGAAAGGAGCTCATCATAAACCCCCGCCTTGTTCAAATAGCTTTACCAAGATCCCGTTTCAGTGCACAGACCACAGCCCTGTGATCGGATATGTTTATAAGATGTAATTCATGACCAGAGCGGTCTCTCCTCTCATTCACAGCGTCTTAGGTTTTGCACATTAAAGCGCATTATTTTTACAAAAAAAAAAAAAAAAGGTGGGGAGAGTTTCTGCGTCTCTGGAGGCATCCGACCACATTTCGTTGGGGTTTTGCATCTACTTCACCACCGTGAAGTGCCAAATGAAATGCTAGAACTTCCCTGAGGTCTCCCCCCAACAGAAAGGAATGTAGGCTCCAGTATGGTAGTCCCAGAACAATACGGATCCTTTTTTTGGAGCCGCCATTTCTCTGCCAGGCTCGGGATGCCGTGGAAATGCAGACGGAGGTTTATTTTCACTTCAGCCCAAAGACACTTCATAAATAAACTCACACTTTGTAGCCAAACAAAAGAACCTCTCGCCGTGTCCTAACCTCGACTAACCTGGCTCATAATCTTCCCTCTGTCCCCATGTGCCTTAACCCCGCTGCCCTAATCTCCTGACCCCCCCTGACCCCTGCTGTCCTGACCCCTGGACTCAACAACTGAGCCTTTCTTCCACCCAGGCTCACCCCCTCCACCCAAAAAGCACAATGCCAAAGCCATCACGCGTCTCCGCTTCCAGTTTCTGCATTCTGAAACGCGCCGGTTTCCTACTTCCCTCGTTCTGATTAAACAACTAATCAGAGCAACGTTTTACTCTGTGCCATGTGTTGCATTGTGTGTGTCCGTGTTGCAGGTTAACTTCCTTCAGAAGAGAGCCTCGCTGCTGCAGGAAGACCTGGATGCCTGCCGCAGCAGGAGGTTAGCGTGATTGTTTAGATTGTATAGAAACGTGTGCGTGCATGCGTGTCCGTACATAGTTCATGTGGAACTTTGTACTTCTATACAGTACAAAGCATGTAGAGTATGTGCCGTTGTTGTTGTTTAAGCTTGCGAGTACAGTGAACATCCAGATTTTGTCATCCTCCGTATACTTTGTAGCACACTATTAACGATGCAGTTACATTCGATGAAGTCTTGTCTTCGGCTATGACAGCTTCCAGTCCTGAGGGCTTTTGATTTTTGCCTCCCATCCATCATACTGTAAGAGCCATTTATGTCTTTATGAGAAGCATCGTATAAGTGCAGTGATAAGAGGCCTCGGCAAACGACGCCGCCGCTCACATCTCGGCAAACATCTCTCAGGACTGTCAGTCACACGCATCGCAGCGAATAACCAGTTATTTCACTGTACCGTCACGACTTAAAGCGAGTCGGAGAGAGTCTGTTTGAATTAATAGCGATGCGTTATAATGTTGGTTTGATGGTTTAACGCCGGAATAACCAAACTCTTTCTGTTTAGGTAACCGTGGCGGGAACCTCGACGCCACGCCGGGATATGAAGGACACGACGTCCAATCAGATGTGAGCATCATTGACTGTTACAAGTACTTTACACAACCCGTCATCTTTTAGTTTCATGTGCTGTTGTCTCTCATGGTTTCATCAGCATATAAACTATTTATTCATTGTCAGATTTTCTTGTTGGAAAAAAATAAATATTTATGTTCACAACAGGTTACGTTGTTCAATTTTATGTTTTTTCCCCATGTTAACGCGATATCATTGTCATTGATATTTGAGAGGTATTTCTTTCCGAAATCCATCAATTTTAATAAAAGACTTTCCATCATTTTCTTCTTTTGTTTTATTTCTAAGCATGTTTTCCATCTTCTTCAAATGCCTCATAATTAGTCCCTCAATTAGGGGGAAGTCATGCTGTTGCCCTTGTTTTTATACGACCACAACGCATGTTAGCGAAGATTAGCTCTGCAACTTTACAACTAAAGTCAAAGACCTTGAATTCCCGTCTCCCCCATCACTATTTAGCATCGCCTTTCTGCTCAAGCCCCCCATTTGAACTGCACCGAGCAGTTGGGGGGGGATTGTGGGTTCAGTGCTGGGAGTCGATTGTTTGAACCTCTGGCCAAACGCTACAGTCCTTGGGCCCAGTGTTCCTGCCCCCACCACCACTTTGTGTTACCAACGGCTCCACTCAAACCCGAGCCACCATGTCTCCGAGTCTCCTCCGGTTGTCTCCAGACTGTGGAGGTTTTATGATGATAATAACATTTGGTGGACCGAGGATGGGCTTCGTAATGAGCCATTGTTGTTTTTGTCTCTCTGGTAGGTGAGGAATGCATGAGCTCGAATACTGATCATTTCAAAAGTATCCAGTTTCTCCCCTGGAAAACAATTTGGAGGCGTTATTAAATTCCAAAATCAGATTTGATTTCAAAGAGGCCTCCGCACTTATTTGCATTGGAATTGCTTTCTTTTTTACACCCGCAGTTCACGCACTTCCATGTGTTCCCATTGTCCGTGATCTGTTCTGCTGCCTCCAAGCGAAACACTATACCCCTCTCTGTATTTATTTGATGTGCTTATTCTGCTGCCCAGGCAAAGAGAGAGAGAAGAAACACCAAAAAAAAGAAAGAAAGAGACGAAAGAAGAGAGGACTGTCTGACCGACATCTGAGAATCAGGAATTTAGTCTTTCAGCACAAAGCCTTTGTAGGGTCTGTTGTTTCTGGACGGAGTGCACAGAGGATTGAGAACTATTGCAACACGGCATCATACGTGCACGTATGCACATGTAAGGAAGGATGTGTCACATGTTGCATGTGTGGTTACATCCGCGTGGCCTCTGTGCTTCAAACTAACTAGAACGCTCAACATCGACTGTGCCTCCCTGATCGTTCTCCAATGAGTGTGTGTCTTTCGCGTGTCTTGACCCTCCTAGTCATACAGAAGAACAGGTAGTTCAGCTGTTTACGGGTTTTTACTTGAAACCATCTACAGGAGCAGGTAGAGGTGTCGGGGAACAGCGGTTGATGAGTTTCATGGATCGTCTTCAGAATGTTTGGAGCGAATGCCGCTCGACAATAAACAAAATCGTTGTACAGTGTATGCAACGATCGGTCCGCCGTGGTCCTGATGAATCTGAGGATCTGAAGCTGTTTAAATGACATCAAGAGCTTTGGGTGTTGATGTTTACATATCGTTGGGTCTCTGGGTTAAATGGAGATAATGATGGGAACTCTTTGACGGTCTCTCTTTGCATTCATGAACACCTTGGAGGGAGTTTAAACCTTCCCTACTTTCACACCTCCACCTGGCCAACCGCTACGTCAGCTAGCGACTGACGTGGTTGTCATTTTGGTCTGTTTTTGAAGAATTGTCAGACACATCTCACCCGATTCAGCTCTTTGGAAAGATGCTTTGACGCTGTTAAGCACATGGTTTGCGCGTGTTTTTGCTCGTTTTTAACCCGTCTTTTAATCTGTTATTACTCTAATTGATTGTCTACCGCCAAAATACCCTTCATAATTGTGCTCGTGTAAATACAAGTCACGAATGTCATTTGCACACAGCCGACATGGCCCCATTAAGGATCAAAGGCCTCGCTTCCTCTCTCCGTTATCTCCACATCAAGGTTGTGTGATAGCAGTAAAGGGCAGCCGAGGTTTCCGCCATATTCTCACCTCACGCTTTGTGCTCACGGTTGCGGCGTCATTTAGATGGGTGCCATGTGTTTGCTTTAGCTGCAAGTTTAAATGTTTCATTAGCTGAAGAGTATAGTGTTCATGACATGAGTGCTCAAAGGCCCATTTAAAAATCATTGCACACAAGACCTCTTTTTTTTTTAAAAGCCTCGTGGCACCGAATCAGAAATGTAGAGCAACTGCAAACGTGGTGCAGAGGAACCCGCTTTTGTTTTGACGTATTTTATTCCGGTAGGATGTCTCACAAGTTTTTATTATTGAGGACATGAATTTAAAGAGCAGTGATTTGAAATAAACTGTAGTTGAGGTCCTTCGCCGCTCCTCTTCTCTGCCTTTTTTTTTTTTACTACATCTACGCATGTGACAGTCTGTGCGCTCACGCTTCATTCTGAGCGCTCGTGACAGGCCTCTGGGATTGACTGTACATCAGCGTGTGATTGACAAAGTCATCGCGTATGTGTGTGTGTGTGTGTGTGTGTGTGTGTGTGTGTGTGTGTGTGTGT